TGTCAATGGGCAGTGGCCCGTAGTATGCCTGAAGGTGCTTCGAGGGAAAGAACAGGTGGTCATCCTCGTGATGGTAGGATTCCGGCATCCGCCGAACCCACAACTGCGCTAGATCTGGAACTTCGTATTAAGCGCGCCGGGCCACTCACTGGATCGGCCAAGAGCGCCCCCAGTGCATCGCACGGTGCTCGCCGTGACGCCGAGGTACAGGTGAGTGAAGGTGGGTCAGGGCCATTGCGAGCAGAACCCCCTAGAGTATCAACTGGAAGACGCGATGAAGATCGCGCAATCGGTGAGCCATCAAGAGCCTCAACGTGGCGACCTGAAGATGATCAAGTCGCAGCTCCACCAGCCCGGCCGGTGGATGCTCGTGTTAGGGTAGAACCCGAATCAAAACGTGCTGATCCAGCACCGGTTGCAGCAGATGCTCCTGCGGCACTGGCAGGTGGTGAAGCGCAAGCAGCCGAAGGAGCCGCAGCAGACGAAGATGACTGGTCCAAGTTCGACTTGGGCAGGTCTTTGTTGCAATTGCGCTCGGTTCGGGAATCCATAGTACGTCGCACATTGAGGTTGTTGCACATACGCTGGTACCACGCGTCAGTGCAGAAAATGAAGAATCTGTTAAGTGCTGCGGGGGTAGAGCCACGCGTATTACAGATTGTACCCACTATTGTGGATACCTGCAAGGTGTGCAGGGCATGGATGCGCACCGGACCGAGGTCTGTCGCTAGCACTCGACTGCCAAGCTCATTTAACTCTGAAGTACAACTTGACTTGTTGTTCTTCAAAGGTAAGCCAATTCTACACGTCATAGACGTGTGTACCCGGTTTACCGCAGTTTCCTTGCTGACTGGGCGTGACACTGACACCATCCTGACTGGTTTTCAAAAGATTTGGGTGTCGTACTTCGGACCGCCTGAAAAGCTCGTAGGCGATCAGGAAGGTGGATGGGCGTCTCCCGCCGCCGTGGCTTGGTTACAAAACCGGGACATAACGTTTGTTCCGAAGGCTAAATACAGCCACGCCGGAGTAGTGGAGCGACACAATGAGATATTCCGTCGGCAGCTTCATTTGCTTGAGGCTCAAACCCGAGAATCCGGAATGAAGGTTTCGCTTGAAGCAATTATCGCCGAAAGTGCTTATGCCAAGAATGCGTTGTTTCGTATCGGCAATGCCACGCCGTACGAGTGCGTCATTGGAAGGGTTCCCCCTCTGTTTGATATTCTCGGTCATGAGGACACCAACGTAGTGGACGTTAGGGACTCCGAACGCATCCGCAGTAAGGCCATTCAGGCGATGCTTCAGGCCACCTCCGAAAGCAAGACGCAAAGAGCCAACAAATCGAAGACTCGAGTAGCAGGTGAAATGCTTGAGCTTGCTAATGGAGATCTGGTTGACTTTTACCGGGAACCCATTAGTAAAGATAACTCAGGTTGGTTAGGCCCTGCCACGGTTATAGACTTGACTCAGCTCGAAGAAGGTCAACTGACCGTGCGCTGGCAGGGTAGAGCCATACTCTGCCGAGTTCAAGACGTTAGGCGGGCACTAATATTCTGCAGTTTTCTGTCAGTCCACAACGCAGATTCGCCGATCTCTGTGTTGATGGGCGCTGCCGAAAGATATAGGGGAAAGGTGCTTAGGTTAGGCTGGTTCAAGAGTAAAGGGACGTGGAGGCCCTTTGAAGCCAACCCATCTCATCCTCGCGTGCTTATCGCAGGTCTACATGTGGCAGCGTGTCATTTGCAACTAACGGGAACAGTGTCCTTTAGAGCTGGATGTGCAGTGAACAGTTTGCCCGGTGTGCATGCGGACGAATCACTTATGATCTGGTGGCAAATCGGTAAGGTGAATGAATGGTTTCACGCTTTTATCAGCCCTACAGAGCACACAAATTGTCAACGGTTGTTTGGACAGGATCCAAGCGATGTAGGGTTCGTGCAGTTCTTCAGCGAGGATGCCGAAGCTATCTTGCAGTTAAGACAGGTCGTGACGGATATCCCAAACGTGGGAGGAATTCATGACCCGTCTATGCCGCGACTTCGCGATGTGCAACCAGAAACCAAACGACGACTGCCGCATGCACTAGAAGACGGGGTGGCGAGTGATGGTCACGATGAGGCATTCGAATTATCATCTGATCAGGTGACGGGAGACACTGACGATACCAGCTTCACCATCGAACGGGAGTACGATGCACTATATGCTCATTGGCATGCGCCCGAAGTGTCAGCATTCCCCGCTCCGGAATGTTCGTTCGTCATCACCAACGATTCGGATGAGGAGTTTGAGGATTTAAGTTTGCATTTTGATAGGAACAGCGCAAAGTACACATATGCTGGCACAACGGTAGGTATGCCCCGCCACAATGACACTTTGGCAGTTTTCGCGTCTGGTGCGACTCCAGCTGTCATTGAGCGCTCTTTGAACGTACTCACACGTGCCGAGGCGTTGGCCAACGCAGAGCAGTGTCGAGTGTCTATGATCAAGGAGCTGAATCGTTGGCACAAGCACAACGCATGGCGAAGGATGCCGCGACACTTGGCGCGGAACGCATTGCAGAGCCGATGGGTGCTCAAATGGAAAATGATCAAAGGTGCAAAGGACGTGAAAGCGCGTCTAGTAGTGCAAGGATTTCGGGACTGTCAACCGGTTTTAAATTATGCAGCCACCACTTCTCGATGGGCGCAGCGTTTGCTGATCGTAATTGCCGTCCAATTCCGTTGGAAACTCATGAGCGCTGACATAAGTGAAGCGTTCTTACGGGGATTGACGTTCAAAGAGCTTTTCGAAGCAGGCGTGGACAAGGAACTGCGTAGTGTTCAGTTGATCCTTCCTCCGGGGGCAGCAGAATTGTTGCGCACGTTGCCAGGAATGGAGAGCTTCGATCCCGATGCAGAAATTCTTGATATGCTGAAGCCGGGTTTCGGTTTGAAAGACGCGCCGCGACTATGGAATCTTGCGCTTAAGAGAGTGCTCACGAAGATTGGTTTGCGAGCAACGCAAACTGATCCCCAGTTGTACTTGAAACATATCGAGGGCACTTTAGTACTTATCCTTTCGGTTCATGTAGACGATCTAAAGATCACTGGAAAGGATGAGGAAATTTCATCGGCGATTGCAGTCCTTGAAAGTGAGTTCGACGAGCTCAAGTTGGAGCAAGACGAGTTTGAACATCTCGGTTTGAAGCATGTGCTTCATTCAGATGGCTCACGGTCCGTGAGTCAACAACACTACGTGTCGGAGCTGCGCCCCATTCCAGAAACTGACATTAAGATTAGGGGTTTAGAGGTTCCAGTAAGCGAAGATCTTCAACGTGCGTATATGTCCTTGTTAGGAGGCGTGGCATGGTGTGTGCAAACACGCCCTGATATTGCCGTGTTCGTGTCAGCACTGCAACGACATCTCAAAGCCCCTACTGGCAAAGATATTGTCAACTTGAATCGAGTGTTGAAGTATGTCAAACTGAAGCCTCTTGAATTGCGATACTCTCGAATCGATGACCCTTGGCGTTTGATTGCTATCTCTGACAGCAGTTTCAAGAGCGAGGATCAAGATTGTTTAGCGGTCCGCTCAGGAATCATCGCATTGACAAACAAAAGTGGAGTACGAACCGGAATGAACAAACTACAGGTCCTTGAGTACGTGTCGAAAAAGCAGAGCAAAGTGTGTCGTTCAACGTTTGCCGCCGAACTTCATTCTTGTCTAGATCTCAGCGGCACTGCGCTGATGATTAATGCTGTTCTGAGTGAAGTGCTACTCGGTAGCATGCCTGCTGCACGACTGCTCGAGCTGCAGGAAGCTAATCAACACGCCTTGTGTATTGACATGGTGTTGGACGCTGAGTCTGTCTTCAAAAGTCTGAAAGGAGAGGAGACGAAGTGCACCGACCAGTCGATGCTCTTGCACCTGTTGGTTTTGAGGCAGCTTGTAGGCAAAGGTATCACTAGGATAGGTTGGGTTGACACAAGGTCTATGTTGGCCGATGGTTTAAACAAGGGAGTGATAGACAGGGAACCGCTTCGAAAGCTAGCCGCTTTGGGAAGTTGGGATGTTTCGCAAGAGATGCAGTGGCACGAGCATTCCGTGAATGCAAGCGACGCTGTGCCTCATACAGCTCTTCATGCGTTAAGGTTGTATCTCACACTGATGTCTTCCAAGTCTTAGGTTTGCAGTAACAACTTTTAAGTCAGACCTTCTACGAATCTCCTTTGCGTTACTCAGCCGGTCAGCGTGCGACTTTCTGCCGCAGAGTGAACATCAACAACAAGCGTGCGTCGAAGATCGATGCACAAGCAACCCGAGTCGAAAGGTTCTGTATCGACCAAGTCGAGCAGGTATCTCTCTCACCGTTGCTGTATCCAGCCTCGAGGTGGGATTGAGTTAATTAGGCAAAGCCTTTGGCCTATTGCAAGCCTTCTGTGTTTAATTCCGTACAGTGTGCATTGATTGGCACCACGAAACACGTTTCAGAATCCGAAGATGGCATCGAACGGCAAAGCCATGGAAAAGGGCCGAGCGGCCTTGCGGCGTCCAGTGCTGTTTGCATGCAGTGATCGGAAGAGTGCTCCAGATTTTGACTACCCAAAGCCCTAAACCCTAAACCCTAAACCCAAAACCCAAAGCCCTAAACCCCCAAGCCTAAAGGCCTTGAACCTTCAACCTCGAGCTTTGATGTAGAGGTTTAATAACCAGGAAGTCTACTCCGCAGGGGGTCCTTCGCGCAACAGATAGATTGATGGATGGATGGAGGAATAGATAGACAGATAGAAACACCTAGGCTGATTGCGCAGGCCGCAAGCCATAAAACCTAAACCTTAAAGCTCCCCCGCATGGTTAGACGGAAAAGAAGCCTGAAAGCACCAAGGATTTTGCACAAAAAAGCCGATGTGACACCTGAACCCTTACACTCCTAAACCCTATATAGCCCTACGGTTTAGGGTTTAGGGTTTCGGGTTCCTGAAACCCTAAACCCTACACCCCTAAACCCACCTTGAGACGAGGTTTCGGACCCTTTGAGGAAGCAGGGCTACCGGTGGCGACTCGGCAAAGGCAAGTCTCCAGGTCTCCTGGTTCCAAAAGGGTGCTGGGCTTTAAGCTTTGTATAATAAACCTTGAGCTACCATCAGCTACAACTTGCAGATTCCTACTACGACGCCTAATATCAGAATTTATTGTCGGGGCCCGGCAAAAAAAATGGGTATGTGGGTCGATGAAGGAAGGCTCTACAGGGGTTTCAGGTGGTGGGCTCGCGGGAATATTCCAGGAGGTGGGAAAATCGGGAACTTGAGGTCCTATCCAGGGTTTAGGGTTTATTGTTTAGGGTTTAGGGTTTAGGGTTTAGAGTTTATTGTTTAGGGGTTTAGGGTTTAAGGCTGAGGGTTTTGAGTTTATATCGGGTCTAGGGGTTTAGGTTGAGGGTTTTGGGTTTCAGGTGTCGTAGGGGTTTCTGGAACTCTCTTCCAGTCTTTGAGGATCCTGCGCGGTCGTCTCATGTTTCCAAAAGTTCGCTTTAGTGCTCCCAGCAATCCCAGCAAAAACAGGGGTTAAGGGCTCAGGGGTTTAGGGTTTAGTGTGAGGTAGCTCCTTTAAGAGACTCTCATGAAAGGAATAGGCTGCCCTAAAACTCTTATTAAACCCTCTTCGCCCCAAAACACCTATAGGCCGTCGTGCCCTGTCCCCTTTTCTCAACGGACACCTTTCGTAAATCTTGAACCCGAAAGCCTAAAATCCTCGGGAGTGGCAGTGGCGCTAGCAGTGAGGCTTAGCGGAGGCGTGGTTTTGGCTAGTTGACAGCTACGCCAATTCCCTCCCAAACCCCAAACCTCACAAGCCATAACAAAAACTTGTTGAATTCTACCAGCAGCTACAAAACCTTAAACCCTAGACACCTTAAGCCCTAAACCCTAAAAACCCTTAAACCCTAAACCGTGGCCCATTGTCCTCACAAGCCACATCCGGAAAGAGCTGAAACCCTAAACCCGATTCAGGAAGGCCAGAGGGCTGGAATCTAAACCCTACTTGAGGTTCATGGGTAGTTATAGATGGGGTTATGAGTAGGGTAACTATATATACTTATAAGCCATATGAGGGGACTTATAACCCCACTTATAGCTACATGAGCCTCCAAGTAAGCCCCGACCTGAAACACTGAACCTTAAGCCGAAGCCTGAAGCCGGGTTTGGGCTTCACGGTTCAGGGTTTAGGGCCCTAAGCTCCAAACCAAAACCTGAAACACTAAACCTTCAGGGTTTAGGGGTTTAGGGTTCATGGACTAATCTGCAAGCAGAAGCACCAGACCTAAGGTGCCACACATGCAAAATCGTCCGGCCACCGCGGGCGTCGCATTGCAAAGACTGCGACCACTGCGTCGCCTGGCTATTTTGGCTGTAGGGCTAGGGGCCCAAGTTTAGAGAACCCGAAACCCTAAACCTCATAAGTACCTGGCTGTGCAATGGTGCCGCCTTGGGGGTTTCGCAGGGTTGTATCGGGTCTTGGGCTGTTTCATGAAGTATCATGGGGCTTCATGCTAGTTTTTTGTGGTATCTTGGGCTGGAGGGCTTTATGTGTTGGAATCATGTTTATGCTCCAGGGTTCCTTAGGTGTGAGCAACCATACATAGTGCCACTGCAGACCCGAAACCCTAAAACTTACACCTTAAACCCCTAAACCCTACACCCTAAACCCTAAACCGCTAAACCCTAAACCCGAAACCCCTAAACCCTAAACCCTAAGCCCGAAACCCAAAACCCCAAACGCTAAACCCGAAACCAGGTGCCTAAGACTGAGACAAAGGCTTGTAACGATGTCAATCCTCGGCTCCGACCCGAAGCCCTTAAACTCTACCTTAACCCATCAGTTTGATTTTTTGCAAAAAATCCTACTTTTTTGTAGGGTCCCTGTAAATTCCATATTAGGGTTTATAATAGGAACCTACAAAGAAGTCGGTTTTGGTAGGTTAAGGTAGACCCTGAAGCCCTAAGTCCCTAACCCCGACAGCCCTGGACTCTGAACCTCAAACCCTAAACCCTACAAGCCCTAAAAGCCCTAAGCCCTAAACCCTAAAGCCCTAAACCCTAAAGCCCTAAACCCCAAAGCCCTAAACCCTAAAGCCCTAAAGCCCTAAAGCCCTGAAGCCCTGAAGGGCCTGAAGCCCTAAAGCCCTGAAGCGCTAAACCCTGAAGCCTTTTGGCCCCAAACCCTGAAGCCCCCCAAAAAAGCCATGAAGCCCTAATATAGGGTTTAGGGTTTATATTTACCTATATTATTTTTTTTGGGGTGTCTCTTATTATAGTTATAGTATATATTCCCCAAAACCCTGTTCTAGTGATTAAGGCCCCTACATTAAGCCCTGAAGCAAAAAGCAGGGTTTCGGGTCATAGAACCTGCGGATGCTCCAAGGTCCTTCGCTTCGACCACCACTGCCCTTTCGTCAATAACTGCATTGGGCAGAGGCCGCGTGAAACCAAGAAGCATAATTTGCCTATGTTATTTTGGGGTTCCCTATTATAATTATGCTATAAAGGACCCCCCAAAGCCCTATTCTAATCATTGACGCCCCTATATGATGCCCCCAAAGCCCAAAATCTCAAAGTCTAAACCCGAAGCCGTGCGCATGAAAATCCGAGGTCGTGATGCCTAGGCTTGACGGTTTAGGTTGCTACTGCTGAGCAAATGCGGCCCTGCGGCTATAACTCCAAATTAAATAGGGGCCTAAAGAGTTACCAATGCTATTTAGTGGGATTTTTACTATGGTTATAGCATCATATACCCCAAAGCCTTGTTACTTGTAGCCCTAAACCCTAAACCCCAATTATGAAGGCCCCTTCATTATGTACTTACAGGTCAGTCTTAGGTCAGCTCTACAATAAGGATCCACAATATTAGGGTCCCCGACATTCGAAAGCCCATATTGAGGCTGCCTACCGTTTTCACTTTGGCCCATGCAGCCGATGCCCTAACGAACGGGAAAAGCCCACGTTGGAAAAGTACTGTGGCTCCCACGGCGTCATCCCAATTCCGGAAGCCAAAGGGATGCTAGGGTCGGGGGTTTAGGCTATAGTGTTTAGGCTATAGTGTTTAGGGTCCAGGCATCAAGGTTTAGAGTCTAGGGGGCTCAGTCACGACATTTAGGATCTAACGTTCACGGCCCGAAGAGGGATGGGGAAGCTGTCGTGATAATGATCTGTAGCTGCTCAAGCTGCTCAACACTGGGCGTTAACATAAGGGTCGCCAGGATTCGGCTAGGGTTTTGGGGCATTGTGTGTTTATTATTATTATTATGATGATGATGATGATTATTATTATTACTATTATTATTATTATTATGAAAATGGTATTATTATGATTATCATTATTATTATCATCATTATTATTATTGATTATCATTATTATGATTATGATGATGATGATGATGGTTATTATTATTATTATTGTTATTATGATTATTATGATGATGATGATGGTTATTATTATTATTATTATTTTATTATTATTATATATGTATACACATATATACATGCAAATGTATTTACAGATATATACATATATACACACACACACATATATATATATATATACACACACACACATACATGCATACGTACATACGCGCTTTAATTATGCAAGGACTATAGCTTGATAGTATTGATTGCGAAGGTTCCACTACCCCAAACCCACGACCGTAAATGCTCAACTTTACACGCAAGCTTTTGAACCAGGACCCGTCCGAACCTACCCCTAAACTCACAACCCCTTAACCCCTAACAAAAAACCGTGAACGAGGAAGTGCCAGTGCTTCGGCTTCACGCAAAGCCTGTTCATACACATACCCCGAGCCGGCACGGCCACTTCTTCCTCCTAAACCCCAAACTTTACCCGCCAGTGGCCCCTGAGCTAGTACTCTTCACCCAAATCCAAACCTCTGTCCCTACACCCAAGAACCCGAAGAAGGAACTGCTCAGGTTTTGTGACGAAGCAGGCTTGAGTATCCATGGGGAAGTATCACTTCTTCATCAAAGCATTGGCCCAAAAAATCATAAACCTCAATCCTCAACCCTACCACCCCGAAGCCTTAATCCTAAAACCTATAAAGCCTAAACCTGCAGGAACTATCACTTCTTTATCGGCTTCACCACCTGTGCCATGCTCTTCGCCTTTGTCGCCCTGCCGGCGATCATTTGGACCGTCTCGAAGCCAAGCGGGAGCCCCAAGAGGTCTTCGAACTCTGGGCTGGTTTGCATGTTCTTTCTTATTATCGTTACTACTGTTATTACCATTGTTCTGGCGATTACTACTATTAAATTATGAGTATTCTTATTATCACTGGAACTATTTTTGTCGTTATGGCGCGCTGGTAGTAGCAGTAGTCGTCGTCGTGGTCGTGGTGGTGGTGGTAGTAGCAGCCTGTCTTTCTTTGTTGAGGTAGGGTTCAGGGTTTTTCGGTGTAGGGCTCAACTTTTTCTTGACTGAGGTTTGGTTTGCAAGTCAGAGGTTTGGTAGGTGTCAGAAAGGGGCCTAAGTAATTACCTAGCCTATGCTATTTTGGTGGTTCCTTATTCTAACTATAGTGTGATGTACCCCGAAGCCTATTCTAATTACTAGGCCCCTACATTAGGGGCTTGGAGCTGTCTCAACAGGGTTGAATAGGGGTGAATCATATCCCGAAGGGTTGAGAAAGGTTTTAGATATCGTGGGCTTCGGGTTTGGGTGTTCAGGATGGGGTTTAGGGTTTCAGGGGTATGGGGTTTAGGGTTCAGGGTTTGGTGTGTAGCATGAACTCTCCATCCGGTCTCTTCCTGAATTGGCCCTGGATGGCCTTGTATCGATGCCTGAGATTCAGGGTTTAGGGTTTTAGGGTGTAGGGTTTATAGCGTATTCTTTGCTGCCGGACAGGTTTGCGCCAAGTGCGTCTTAAGACGCTTTGGCTTCAAGCCCTAAGCCCGGTAACTCCTACATCGAAGCACTGCGCTGCAATAGCATGGAGCCATCTGGAAAACAGATTCTCGTGCAAGTATCAGCATACCGAGAGGGAAGCGTGTGTAAGCTAACACGGTAAGTATCGATTCCGGATCAAGGCCTCAGTACTTCGTAAATAGTCTTCCGTAGGTCTCCCCCCCACGCATCTATAGTATGTAGCACCCAACACTAAAGCTTAGTTGTTCGGGCTGTCTAAACCCGAAACCCTGACCCCTATTTACTTCAAACTACCACAACCTACTTGTTGTAGGATCTTATTACAAGCCCTGTCCTAGAAGTGATAGGAACCCTAACAAAACGGTATGTTTTGTAGCTCCATGGTATTTCGTTTTTGTTTCTGCAGGTTCTTGTTGGCCCCAGCGCCCCGACGGAAGCATCATTTTGGGTTTAGGGTTTACCATCGACTAAGTAGCTGAGATTGCTGGACATTATGGGACCCTACATAAAAGAGGGTTTTGGCAGGTTAATGTATTGTTTTGGGCATTATTCGGGTCCCATCCCTAGTTCCCCGAAGCTCGCCCTGGGAAATCTTGTGCAGGATTTAGGGTTTCAGGGCTTTCGGGTTTCAGGGTTTCGGGTTTAGGGCTTCAAGGGTTTCGGGTTTGAGTTTCAGGGTTTCGGGTGTGGGGTTTAGCAACTTAGGGTTCAGGTCTTCCAGCTGGGTTTTGGGGCGGTTAGATTTTGCGGTGGGTGAAGGGTTGAGGGTTTAGGGCTCGGGTCGATTGGACTGGTGTGACGGCGTCCGGGATGAGTTTCTTGTAATGTAGGGGCCTTATTATTAGAATAGGGTTTTGTGGCCCGTTATGCTATGTTTGTAATAAGGAACCCCCAAAATAGTCTAGGTAATTCTTGAGGCTTGTATAATAATCCCCGTCCATGCGGAAGCCGACGCAGATGGCGATCCCGATGACGACTCCGCGGCGGAAGTCGCGATGCCCTGGTATCGATGGATTGCCGCGGCCTCAAGTAGGAGTTTCCGAAAGCTAGGGACAATATAGGGGCCTGAATACTTGCCAATACTATTTTGGAGGTTCCTTCTTATGGTTATTGTATAAAAAACACAAAAACCCTATTCTAATTGGTAAGGCCCTTACATCACCTTATTTGGGGTCCTTCTAACAAGGATCCTAGTATTTTGGGGTACTGCTTCTGCTACTTAAGGGCTCCTTCTAAAAAGGATCCTACTATTTAGGGTACTGTATTAGGGTCCTTATAGGAAGGATCCTATGCTACTTAGGGGGCTCCTTATATTAAGAATCCTACTATTGAGGGATTATCGGGAACCCACAAATTCTCCGAGCTCTAGAGTTGAGGGTTTCACCCCAAGCCAATGGAACCAGATGGGCATGAAAGCAGCCTAGGTTTAGGGTTTAGGGTTTAGGGTTACAACATACCGCAAAAAATATGTTTCTTTAAAGTCATCTTCGTGATGCTCAGATAGCAAACTCAAATAATCCGGAACCCTTGAACCCCAGAAGGGGTATTCCCTAACTCAGGCAAGAAAGAGACTCGAATGATGCTTGATAGTATCCCATGATCATCCTCGCACATAATTTGTTACAGTAAATATATGCCCAAACCCTATTCCAATCAATACGGCCGCTAGTATAGATGCCCTGTACAGCGGTCAATAATCTCTGATGAAAACAAGCCTTGAACATATCAGTATAAGCCCGGGAAACAAACCCGAGCAACCCTGTTCCAATTCCCTAAACCCTAAACCCTAAACCCTAAACCCTGAACCCTAAACCCCAAACCCAATACCCTAAACCCAATGCCCGAAACCCTAAACCTTGAACCCTAAACCGATGTCGGGCCCGGAGCTCAGCAAGAAAACCTCGCCGCTAATACTCGCTGCATGCGTCTACGAACAAACCATCGACAGCTTGTAACTAGAGAGCAAAATACCCCTTAATTAAGGAATAGACCTTAAATCATATTCGGGATCCTATTATAATTTAACGTATATTCCTTATTTAAGGGGTATTGGGCTCTCTGGGTAACTTCTACTAAATGGGGTGTTGGTTCAAGCAGGGTGGCTAATACAGGGGCCTCAATAATTACCTATATTATTATGGGGGTGCCCTATTCTGGAATGTGCCCTATTCTGGAATTAGGTCCCCCAAAACCATGATTAGAATGGTCTTCCGGGGTCTAATTCCAAAATGGTAGTCTTCGTAGAAGGGAGGCCGCCTTCAGCAAACCAAGCCCTATAAACCTTGAAGCCTAAGCCCTAAAAGCCATACATCCTAACCCTAACCCTAAACACTAAGCCCTTACACCACTCCTACTCCCCAAACCCAACCAATCACCAAAGTCCTTGACAGGTTTTAGTGAGCTGCGGCATTGTCGGCGTTTGTGCAGCCTTGCTGGTCGGGTCCCCCGTTGACTTGCGTGTTTGGGTTAAGGGCTTAGGGTGGTTTAGGGCTTGAGGTGGCGAGGGTACCTGGTTTTTGGTTTTTTGGATGTCGTGGTGTGACCTTCGTTCCCGGTTTTTCTTCCGAGATTACAAGCACAAACCTGTTGCTAGTATGCTGATCTTGGTGAACTGGTGGTGAGGGAGGTGGTGATGGTGAGGTGATGACGGTGAGGGTGACCGCGGCATGGATACTACTGCAACTGCTGTTCGCAATGTATTCTTCGCACGGGCACCATGCACACCAGGTCTAGTCGGGGTTACTTGCAGGTTGACCGAGGGCTCCGAATCGCTTCTCCCAAACCCTATACGTCCTAAACCGCTTGCCTACGGAAGGTAGTTACAGCCGAGCCCTGTAGCGAGACCGCCCAAGGTGGGAACCTCAACTCAAAGGCTTAAGCCCTGGACCCTACAGCTGAAGTGAGTTCTAATTGGGGGGTTAGGGTCATTATAACAATTATGATCGTCTAATACCATAGCATATTACAGCATATCTGTAGTAATTATATCATAGTATATGTGGTATATTATGGTACAATTACCGATATTACGGTGAGGATGAAGAGGAGGAAAAGGACGATGACGCGGGAATGCTGCCATGTTACAAGAGGTAGAAGCTTCGACGGTGTTTGTTGCTACGACTGTTTTCAGTTTAGAGTGACGTATAGTCTAGTCTGGTCGAGTCCAATCTAGTCTAGTCTAGTACAATTATAGCATATAGTAAGGTATAGTTCAGTATAGCGTAGTCTAGTGCAATATGGTGTGGTATAGTGTAGTATAGTGTAGTCTAGTGTAGTACAGTGTAGCACAATGTCGTATAGTCTAGTATAGTATACTACAACTCGTGGTATAGTGTAGGTATCGCATGGTATAGTATGGTGCAGTATAGTGCTGTATAGTGTGGTACAGTATAGTGTACTGTACGTAGTACAGTACTGTATAGCATAGCAGAGTGTAGCATAGTACAGTACAGCATCGTGTACTATAGAACAGTAGTATTGTATGGTATAGTTTCGTACAGTTTCGTATAGTTTTAGTAGCTTAATGTTCACCAATCCACTTCGAGACCCTTGGCGCTTCGGAGTTGTACAGTTTTGCGAGGTCCTGCTGTGGCTCTATCACCTATTCCTGGCCGTCTCCGGCAAAACCACCAAGGACCGACCAGGAACCGACAGGAGGTATAGGAATCATTAGAAATAGGTCTCCGTTATTTTGCCTTCAAGCCCCGAACCTCGAATCATCCTAAACCTACAAGCCCCCAGCCCAAAACCCTAAACCCCAAGACCCTAGACCCTAGAACTTAACCCTGCAGACCCTATAGATTCCTGAAGAAAAACCTCTATAGACTATAGATCATAGATCCCTTTCAAGAAACACCCCAACATTGCCCTAAACCCTAAACCCTAAACCCCTGCAGATCCCTTTAAAGGAATCCCTATAGATCCCTTAGAAGGAATCCCTATAGATCCCTTAAAAGGAATCCCTATAGATCCCTTGAAAGGAATCCATGTAGATCCCTTAAAAAAGGAATCCCTACAGATCCCTAAACCCTAAGCCCTAAACCTCTACAGATCCCTTTAAACCAAAATCGCCCTAAACCCTAAACCCCTACAGATCCCTCCCTAGAGATCCCTTCCGCGGAGCCAGGAGCACCGGCGCCGCCTGGACGTCCGCAGCGAGCCGACGTTCTTCGCCTCGCGAGGGCCGGCGCTCGTCGACCCGAACGACTGGGCCCGGGACTCGAAGTGGGTTTAGGGTTTTGGGTTTAGGGTTTAGGGTTTTGGGTTTAGGGACTCAAAGAAGGTTTGCGTTTGGGGTTTTGTAAGTTTTTGTTGGGGGGTTCCGAGGGTTTATAGGGTTTTGTAGGGCTCATAGGGAGTTTTTGTGGGTTTAGAGGGTTTTATCGACATTTTCAGGGTTTTAGAGGGTTTTTGGAGTTTATAGGGCTTTATAGGGTTTTTCAGGGCGTATAGGGCTGTTTAGGCTTTATAGCTTATAGGGTCTATAGGTATTTATAGAGCTTATAGGGTAGGGTTTATAGGGTGTATAGGGCTTCTAGGGCTTATAGGGTTGATAGGGTTTATAAGGTTTATGGGGTATCACGGTTTACGAGTTTAGGATGGTGCAGGGGTATAGGGTTTATGGTCTAGGGTTTGGGGTTTAGGGTTTAGGTGTAGTAGGGTGTAAGACCCAATAGGCTTAGAGGATTTCACACGTGAGAAGAACGAGCAGCTGTACTTATTTTGAAGCCTAAATCGTGCGCAATGCTACTCCTTAGTTAGAATAGGGTTCACGGTTTAGGGTTGAGGGTTTCAGGTTCCTGATTGTCATGATACAGCGTCTTGGACTCTCAAGGACGTCGGGCTTCTGATTAAAGCTCCAAGCCCTGAATCCCTAAACCTAAAACCTGTTAAAGCACTGTAACACCTAAACCCCTAAACCCTAAAGCCCTAAACCCTAAAGCCCGAAACCCCTAAAACATAAACCCTGTCAAAACCCCCTAGACCCTAAACTAAACCCATCTCGTTGAGTTTATGGTCTTTGCTTCGTTTTGCTTTCCGCCGAAGGGTAGGAATTTTGGATTCAGGGGTGGGGCTAGGGCTGGGGATGGCCAAGCAGGCAGTTCCGGGGGTTTAGGGTTCAGGGGTTTGGGTTTCCGGATGCTGGCATGGTTTGGATCTTTAGAAAATAGCCATCTCCCATAAGGGCACAGAGGGCTTTTGCTACTACTATGCTGCCAAGTTAACTCGCTTTCGTCTGCATGGTTTCGGAATGCAGCCTTTTCCAGCAGGTTGACGAGGAACTTCTCCTCGCGCAGAGCAGCCAGCAGCATGACTCCCGGTCCACTGCTTAGGATATCAACGGTAGGGTTTATGGTTTATGGCTTCATGCTTTAACTATTTAGGGTTTAACTACGATTAGAGCTTCTTGGGTTTAGGGTTCAGTTTTTAGACTTTTCTGTTTACAACCGTGGTGTAGCTCTCTACGGCTTTCAGGAGCTATGGTGTTTCGTGTACAATCGACTGTCTAAGGGACTTGTCAGGTGTTCGTGAAGAGGTTTAGGCGAAAGTTTGAGGAATGGCATATATAGCTTCCGATTTGCCTGTCTCAGACTTGGCGCCTCGGGATCACCCGACGAAAGATTAAAATGAAAGTTTGGGAAGTTAGTGGGATCTTTAGGGTTTAGGGTTTAGACTTGAGGTTCAGATGTTGGTGTTGGGTTCAGAGCTCCAGGTCTAGGCTGTTTAGGTACTGCACTCGCAGCGCAAGGATTGCAGAGTCATGTGCAAACACGAGCTGAACTCGCCGTGTTGCTCCAATCGTAGGCGTCTGCCACCGACCCTGCCTAAATCCTAATTCCCCAAAGCCCAAACCTGGAAGCCCCAGACCCTAAACAGTTCAGGGTTTAGGGTTTAGGGTTTAGGGTGTAGTGTTTAGGGCAAACCCTAAGAAGCCACTAAGTTAAAGCCGTGTAGGAGGGACCCGTTTAACAAAGCAGCGTCGCAGGCCGCACCGTTTCTAGGACGTTTCCGGATGGAAGCTCAATGCCTCGAAAAAATGCGCCAAGAGGTAGGGTTAGTCTAAAAGGGTTCAGGGTTTAGGGTTTTAGGATTTAGGGTTTAGGGTTTAGGGTTCAGGGTTTAGGGTTTACTGCTTGGGATGGTTAAAGTAGGTCACTCTTTCTTTTGCGTGTTGGTCCCCTGGTGGTGGTGTTTTATAGGGCTTAGCATAGAGCGCAGGGGGTCTGAATAGATTGTAACTGCATGCAATGTTGATCGTATGATTTATAACCCTAACCCTAAACCCTAAACCATGTTCCCGAAGCACTCTGCTACTTACAAAGGCTTGGATTTGGGGCCTTCCGGGATCTGTGGTTAGAGGGTCAATGCCATTGGCCACGAAGAGGTCAATCATTTCGCAACCCCGAAGCGCCCACAAGAAACTATCGCTAGGGTTTTCGCGAACATAGAACTGTTACAAATCAACTTGTTAGAATGATGTTTAAGCCCAGCCCACCGAAACTCTTGTCGAATCGTTGTGGCCCTCTTCGGGCGAAGTGAGCTGCAAGTTGTGGAATGCAAGCTTGGGGATAGTGTACTCGCATGCGATACTGCGCAATCACGCGCCTGACATGAACATCCTCGAAACCGTGCATTTCTTGAAGGTCTTCAGCCATGCATATCCGCACTTCTCCGCAGCCGTGCGCAACCCCATCGCAAGTTTGTCAACAACAAGCTGTACCTGCACAATGTTTGCCGCGGGCTGAGATTGCCAATGTTTTTTCATCCCGCTGTACCACCATCATGACCACGACGACAACCACATACTAGTGCTAATATACACAATAGCAGCAATCATCATGAATGGTAATATACCAAATGATAGTATGATATACTATGATAGAAGGGAATAGAATGTGTTATGCCATAACCTCGTGTTAATCATAGCAACAGCAATGATAATAGTAAACTCTTGTTTGAAATTAAACAATATTCATGTTGCATTTCGGAAGGTGGCGTGGCTTGGCTTGCATGCCTCAGCCCTCAAAGATGCCGCATGAAATGCAGGCCGGTTAGCTGCCTGCTACGCCAGATGTGTTATTCCCTTGGAGTCCTTGTGGTGCGATGAAGTCGTAACTTACACATAAACAAATACGTACATATATAATATAATTAGATACAGACATGCATACATACCAACAAACATATATATATATATATATACATACAATATATAATATATAATATATATATATATATATATATACACATACATATACATATACATAACCATATACATCTACATATCCATATGCATCTCCATATCCATATCCATATACATATACATTTACATACAGACATACATACATATATATATATATATACACATACATGTATATATCCCTCACAGGCATCTACATACACATGTACATGCATATACATATACATATACATTTACATATACATATAGACATACATATATATATATATACATATATATATATATATCCTTCACAGGCATTTACATGCACATGTACATGCATATACATATACATATACATATACATATACATATACATATACATATACATATACATATATATGTATATATAGACGCACGTACCCACGCCCACGCCCACGCCCACGCCCACGCCCACGCCCACACCCACGCCCACGCCCACGCCCACGCCCACGCCCACGCCCACGCCCACGCCCACACCCACACCCACACCCACACCCACACACGCACACACACACACACACACACATACACACACACACACA